AATCTGCTATGTGTCAGATCATATGATGAGCAGTGCACAAAGAACTATATAACCTCCAATATTATTGTTGGGTAATGAAAAACTTTTGATGACGTATCAATTCCCTTCTTATGTCCAAGTAAGAGCAATTTCACGGCTAAGAAATGCCAGAGATCCAAAATTTTTATTTTTACTTCTTATATATTATACATATATATATAATATTTATACATATACATTTGCATATGTATATATATGTATATGTCTTTATAAAGATACATATACTTATATGTATATGTACGTGTGTGTGTGTGTGTGTGTGTGTGTGTGTGTGTGTGTGTGTGTGTGTGTGTGTGTATTCAAAAAAACTAGAGATCTTTGAGTTGATTAGCTTTGATTCTTAGATGAGGAGTCTCCAACTTATCACCATGAAGTAGGAGAGCAAGAGGGGTAGGGCGCCTTGTTGCAACATAAATGGAGTTAGTATAAAGGCCATGTCTGGCAAGCCAATTAGCAGGTTGGTTACCTCCTCTACAGATAAAAGACATATTGACTTTAAACAGCTTGGTGAGATTGCCAATTTTCTATTTCTAATGCATATGATGCCAAGAGAACAACTGTTCATTGTTGAGGAAAGTGATCAGTTAAATAGAGTCCACCTCAATCCATAGTTTATACCATGTAGCCTTCAGTACAAAGGTAAGGGCCCAGTAAACAGCAATAAGCTTAGCTTCCATAGCAACATGAGCCTCAGTAAGAGCATGAAAGAACAACAAGCATTTGCTGGAGGAATCTCTGAAACCCCCCCACCCTAGCACCCCATTCAAAAAAGCTACCATCATTATTAATCTTCATGGTATGTTCTTCATGGTATGTTGATCAGGGGGTTGCCAAATAACTTTTTCAATCTTTTTATGACTTTTGGTTACAGTAGTTTGAGGCAAACTGACATTAGGGAAGTTGTTAAGTTCAATCAGCATGTTTAAGTAGGAAGCACAGGTTCTAGTAACCTTGGAATGTCTGAGGCAAACTGATATTAGGGAAGTTGTTAAGATGAAAAGGCTTGTCTTCATGTTTTCTGTTGTTTCTGCACATCCACAAGAACCAGGCCACAATAAAAGGGATAGAATCACCTTTCTTACTTTTCCAGCTGTGTCATCCATCTTTGAGATTGGACCAGTCCTTATCCAAGCCCTCAACTTTAATCTTAGTGAGAAGTGCCTTTCACACCTCTTGAGCAAACTCATAGTTAAAGAAGAGGTGGTTGTTGTCCTCTTCAAATCTCTGGAAAAGATAGCATCTAGAAGGCCCTCTCAAACCCGTAAGTTTAGAATATCCTCAGTTTGTAGCAGATTATTGAAGAACCTCCAACAAAAGAATGATATAGAGGGGGATAGATATTTGTTCCAATTGGCTTCACCCCAAGGGACTTGATCCCAACAGTAAAGTTTGGCATAGATGGCTTTAGTCAAACTTTGGTTAGCATAGCTATGCCAGATAATTCTATCGTTCCTACCCTTATCAAAAACAATCTTAGTTACTTGAGATAGGTGGGGCTCCTGTAGAACAGATTAGAGCATAGTAACAGACCAGGAGTCTCCCTCCCAAAGATAACAAACTGAAAAGTGAGGGTTGAAATCAGAGGGGGGAGCCCCTAGCCAGTCTTTAGGACACCAATGGTCTAGCCAGAAGTTCACTTGAGCATTCCCCAAGTCCCAAATGTACATTTCTTTAGCAAGGTGTCTAATTTTAATCATATTAGTCCAAATTCGAGAGTCCCCCAGCTTTTTGGAAGTGAGAGATGGGTATTGTCCCTTGTAGGAAGTCTGGGCTCCGGAATTGATCCACATCTTACAGAAATTAATTTATGTGATTTGTTGAAGTCCCTTGAACCCCATCCCTATCCCACCAGCTATGGGATGTTTAGCTGCCTTTTGCCAAGAAGCCCAATGGAGCTGCTGCTTTTGACCTGCCCACAAGAATCTATTAAAGACTCTTTCCAACTGAATTTGAATGCTTTTCTTCATATAATTGGTTTGGAGAATATATGAGGGGAAGGTAGTTAAGATACTTCTGATTAGAGTAATTCTACCCCCATTAGAAAGGAAAGAATGGGACCGGCTAGATAAAGTTTTCTTAAGTTTCTGAAAAACCTCATCAAATTGGGTCAGCTTGGATCTCCCCCAAGTGAGATAAACCCCAAAATATTTTAAAGGGTCTTTAGCAATGGAAAAATCAGTATAATTAGAGACCCAATGTTTACAATTGGAAGATGCCCTCTTGTTAAAGAAAAGTTGGCATTTAGTAGGGCAAAACTCCATCCCAGAGTAGCTCTGAAATTGTTTCGGACATTGGTAGACTTTTTTAACTGCATTTTTATGAACATTAGAGAATATCATAATATCATCAGCAAACATGAGGTGGGAGATAGCCATAGTGGATTTGTGATGAAATCTGGAATATTGTTGGTTGAGGATGACCCTGTCTAGCATTCTAGAGAAGTAATCCATAGCAATAATAAAGATAGTGGGGGAGAGTGGGTCACCTTGTTTGAGCCCTGTGGTAGCTGTGAAAGAACTCTAGGCTTTGCCATTGATAAGAATGGAATGCTTGTTATTAATGAGCCACCAGGAATCCCCAAAATAGATTTCCAACCAATAGTGTCATAAGCTTTTTTAATATCTAGTTTATAGATAAGATTACCTGCTACTGATTTTATCCAAATCTAGAATAAGTTCTTGTGCTAGCAACACATTATCAATGATGGATCTCCTTTTAATGAATGCAGTCTGGTTTGGGCATATAATCTTGTCAAGGTGAGGTTGGAGTCTTCTTACTATGATCTTGCTAGTGAGTTTACTTATGATAGAAGTAAGGCTAATAGGCCTGTAGTGTTCCCAGGTCTTCTGCAGATCTCCTTTAGGAGTTAGCACAATAGAAGTAACTCTAAAATAGCTAGGGAGATTGACCCCCCAGAATAAACTCTTGATAGCCTCAATTACCTCCTTTTTAATAATGTGCCAAGCTTTTTTAAAAAAGTCAGCAGTAAAACAATCAGGGCCAGCAGATTTGGAGCTGTCAATGGTGTTTAAGGCATCCCAAATTTCATCATCAGAAGGGCGTTCAGTGAGTTTGAGCTGATTGGTGTAATCTAATTCTTCAATAAAATAGTTTTCATAATCAATATTTAGATCAACTGAAGAGTTCAGTAAGGAGCTGTAGTACTTAACAACATCCAAAGCAATAAGGTCATTGTCATTAATCCATCTACCCTCATGAGAGTAAATAGAGTGAATGGTATTGCACTTCCTCTTGTATCTAATATAAGCATGGTAAAACTTAGTGTTTCTGTCACCTTCAGTAAAAATGTTAATAGAAGCTTTTTGTTTGAGTAATAGATCTTGTATGTTAATAACATTGAGTAGATTAGTCTGGGCAGTAAGCAGACCAGTCTCAGTGGCAGTTTCATTATGAACAACAGCTTCAAGTTTCTCTACTTCCTTTTCAGTAGATAAGGCATTGGAAAAAACATTCCCAAAAGTCTCCCAACCCCACTTTCTTAATGCTTTGCTTGTTTTCAGATGAAGGAGGCTAAGTTTGATGAAAGGGTCACTATGGTCAATATCCATCCAATTAGAAGCAACACACCTGATGAATAGGGGGTGAGTGGACCACATATTGAGATATCTGAAAGGGGGGGTGATATGTAGTATTGCTAGGGGAAGTAATAGATATGAGAAAAGGTCTGTGATCGGAACCAGTGAGTGTTAAGTGAGTAACAAAAGTTAGGAGATAGTGCTTATGCCAACAGTCATTCACTAGCACCCTGTCAAGTATTTCCCACAATAAACCCCTTTTCCAAGTGAATTTAGGACCATGGTACCCCAAATCAAACAAGCCAGCTTCCTATATCTGATCATTGAAGAAAGTCATTTTGGACAGATTAGGAGGTCTCCCCCTAGATTTCTCTGCTGCAGAAGTGATACAATTGAAATCTCCCCCAACCATCTAGGGAGAGTTCATATTAGTACTGATGAGATGTAAGCCCTACCAATATATATATATATATATATATATACACACGTGTGTGTGTGTGTGTATGTATGTGTATATGTATATACATATATATGTACATGTATTTATACATAAACATATATGTGTATATGTTAATTGTCATTTGTTAATTTTTAGTGATTTCACCTGTTATTTTCTTGATTTTTCACAGAAGATTTTCGTTGGTATTGTGCAAGTTACCAGTGTTAGATACATGCATTTTAAAGTGAGAAAAACCAACCTAAAAGCGGCATAAAGCAGCATGAACAAGCTTAATCAAATATTAATCGAATCAATTTCAAAAGTTTCATCTAGTGCATTGATACTTTCAAGTTCTTCACAACATGAACAATACTTGCTATGCCTAAGAATTGTATTTGACATATTAGGATTCAGTTGTTACTTTGTGTTTTAAAATATTACCCGATTAATTATTATCTATAATTCATAGATGCCCGAAGGATACTTTTGCAACTTACAGCTTTTATTAGAAATGAAGTAGGGTCAGTTACATACATAACACACAATTCTTATATATTTACATATCCAACACTAAACTTTCATAATTATAAATATAACACTCGAAATTTTTAATCACACATAAAATATTATTATCATTAATTTTTAATAAAAAATTCAAATTTCCATGAGTTAATTTTTAATATTAAGATGGTATAAATATAAATATAAAACTTATGGTGTTAGATTGGTAATTGCATTAAAACAATGCGGCAGTAATATAAATTTCCTAAAAAATTAAAAGGAAAGAAATGGCCAAAATAGACATGCTTGACACCACATCTAAGCCTCGAAATTATCTGGCAAAGCTGGTGGACGGAAAAGAGCCACCCGCATATTTTATTAAACTCAAACCATGGCCTCAGAAGCCTTCATCCAATGAAATCAAGGCTCAAGATTTCTTTCAGATAAGTACGCCAATCCGCTTCCCACTCTTCCTCCCTTTAAAAACTGATAACCACTTCAAGCCTAAATCAATCAACCCTGAACATAATCTAACACATTCCAACACCCGCAATGGCAGCCACAGCAGCCACAATGGCCCTCTCTTCTCCTTCTTTCGCTGGTAAGGCGGTTAAAATCTCGCCCTCCAACGTTCTCATCTTTGGCGAGGGCCGCATCACCATGCAGGATAAGACTACATCGAACAGGCCCCGGACTACAGCAGGAAAGTTACGCCCCGCAACTAGCAGCCCATGGTATGGCCCGGACCGTGTGAAGTATTTGGGCCCGTTCTCTGGCGAGCCACCTTCATACCTCACTGGCGAGTTCCCCGGTGATTACGGCTGGGACACTGCTGGCTTGTCGGCGGACCCAGAAACCTTCGCTAAGAATCGGGAGCTGGAGGTCATCCACTCACGGTGGGCCATGTTGGGTGCACTGGGTTGCATCTTCCCAGAGCTTTTGGCTCGCAATGGCGTAAAGTTCGGCGAGGCGGTGTGGTTCAAAGCTGGTTCTCAGATCTTCAGCGAGGGTGGGCTTGATTATTTGGGTAACCCAAACTTGATCCATGCTCAAAGCATCTTGGCTATCTGGGCAGTTCAAGTTGTCCTCATGGGTGCTGTTGAGGGCTATCGTATTGCCGGTGGTCCTCTCGGCGAGATCACCGACCCGCTTTACCCAGGCAATAGCTTCGACCCGCTGGGCTTGGCCGACGACCCCGAGGCCTTTGCTGAGCTGAAGGTGAAGGAGTTAAAGAATGGTAGGCTGGCAATGTTCTCTATGTTTGGTTTTTTCGTGCAGGCCATTGTCACTGGAAAGGGACCGCTGGAGAACTTGGCCGACCACCTTGCTGACCCGGTGAACAATAACGCCTGGGCTTATGCCACGAACTTTGTTCCTGGAAAGTGAGGAGTTTAAGTTCAGATTTAATTGACTATGGCTTGCTTGGTGCTAGTTCCTTTGAGTTGGACGTGTAAAACAAGTAGTTTAGCTTGAGAGTTTCAATGTACGTGCGTTGGAGAGCAATCATCAATATTATGAACTGTTGTACAGTAACATTTTCTTGATGATGTGTTAATCTCTTTTTCTTTTGTTTTATTTATCTTTTCAAGAATCATTATTTACATTGTTTGGTAATTTTAAGAGCTTATTTTATTTCTAGTAAATAAATATATTCTAAAATTTAATTAAACCTTTTTTTTTAATAAAGAACACTAAAAGGCTCTAATTTATTAAAAAAATAACAAAAAATACAAAGTTTGGAAATGGAACTCAACCTAAACTCTATACAACTCACACAAAAAGTAAAAAAGGTTCCTAATCCACAAAAATAAAAATACAACTCACACAACACCTAAGAAAATAAAAAAGCAAAAAAACAAAATCAAGAAGAAATACAAATATAAGGGGAATCCATCAAATTACCCCTAATAAAGCACTTGTGAATCTCCGGAAAGTTATTAGAAAAAATAACTCTTTGAGTCTGCATCCCTAGCTTAGCAGCCCAATCATGATGAATGAACAGCCAACGAACCTGCATACCAATCGTCAGAGCAAAAATTCTTTTCTTTTGAATTATAAAATACCAAGGATAATCGCTATTTCTGCACGATGAATGAAAAGCCAACGAACCTGCATACCAATCGTCAAAGCAAAAATTCTTTTCAATTGAATTATAAAATACCAAGGATAATCTCTATTTCTGCAACAAAATGACCAAAGATCAAACGAATCCATTTCAACTTCTAAATTTTTCCAACCAAATTTTAAAGCCAATTCCAGTCCCATAATCACAACCTCAGCTTCAGCTTCAATAACGCTTAAAACAACAACAGAAGCAGAAAACCACACACTAGCCTTACCAGAAGAGTCTCGACAGATACCGACAATTCCTACAGTATAATTACTCCAGCTATCATCCGTATTGAGCTTGATAAACCCATTAATAGGTGCAACCCAATGAACTAAAATAATATCAGCCTTATTTTTTCTCAGCAAATCAATATGAAACTTCAGCAACATACGCTTAAGAGTAGTATTACAAGAAGGCTTAAAGTTCCCATATTTCAAGCTTTTATAAATATTTTGATAGAATGAAAACAATTTGAACTAGAAAAAGACTGGCCATCATACTTACAATTATTTCGAGTAGATCAAATAAACCAGAAAGTGATAACAGGAACAGACCTGTACAGCTTCGACCCATCCTTCTGCCAAACCGTAATCATACCAGTAATAGACCTGTTATGATTACAATAACCAACATACTCAAAGAGTATAAACACCCTCTTCTATAAATCATTAATATAAGAACAAGTATAGAAAATATGTTCCAACGTTTCAACATGCCTCTTACAGAAATAACAAATAGAAGGAGATCTTAAACCTCTAAGCTTTAAAATATCATCAATAGGTTGAATTTTATGTAAAAGACGCCACATAAAAAAAAGATTGGGTACGTTTTATCAAATCATTCCAAATCCACCTTAAATCCATACCTTGGGAAGTATTAAGAGCCATAGAGAAAATCTTAGTAGCAGACCAACCCAACTTACCTTTAAGTTTGATTTTATCAGGACCCTGACTAATAGGAACTTTAGCTATACTAGCCAAATCCTCGCTATTAACCAGGTTAGCAAGCTTATTAATATTCTGAACATTACCATTCCACATCTACTGTACCTGCAAATTAACATCAAAAGGGCCTCCATAGCTATCAACTAAAGGACCCAAACCAATCCAATTATCATACAAAAAACTACACTTGCTTGGACCAAGATCCCAATAAATAATAGATTCACTACAGTTAGCCACCTTAAGCATACTTTTCCAAACAAGTGTGCTTTACTAGTCAAAGACAAAGGATGCACATCCTTACAATATTTCAGATGCATCATTTTAGCCCAGAAAGACTTATCATTACGAAATTCAGCCATAATTTCATATAACTGAGATGCATAGTGCCCATAAGAGAACAGAAAACAAGTCCACCCTTACTAATAGGTTTGCACATTTGTTTCCATCTCATCCAATGAATCATAATATCCTTACCAGCCCACAAAAATTTGTTAAAAATACTTTCCAGCTTCATACAAATAGAGTAAGGCATCTTCATAAAACATAAGGTAAATATAGGAATAGAAGTAAGGACACTTTTAAGTAACATCACCTTACCACAATAAGAAAGAAGAAGATTATTCCAAGACATAATCTATTAGTAGAAGGCTTAAAGTTCTCATATTTCAACATTTTATAAGCATTACATTTGATAGAATGAAAACAATTTGAACTAGAAAAAGACTGGCCATCATACTTACAATTATTTCGAGTAGATCAAATAAACCAGAAAGTGATAACAGGAACAGACCTGTACAGCTTCGACCCATCCTTCTGCCAAACCGTAATCATACCAGTAATAGACCTGTTATGATTACAATTACCAACATACTCAAAGAGTATAAACACCCTCTTCTATAAATCATTAATATAAGAACAAGTATAGAAAATATGTTCCAACGTTTCAACATGCCTCTTACAGAAATAACAAATAGAAAAAAATCTTAAACCTCTAAGCTTTAAAATATCATCAATAGGTTGAATTTTATGTAAAAGACGCCACATAAAAAAAAGATTGGGTACGTTTTATCAAATCATTCCAAATCCACCTTAAATCCATACCTTGGGAAGTATTAAGAGCCATAGAGAAAATCTTAGTAGCAGACCAACCCAACTTACCTTTAAGTTTGATTTTATCAGGACCCTGACTAATAGGAACTTTAGCTATACTAGCCAAATCCTCGCTATTAACCAGGTTAGCAAGCTTATTAATATTCTGAACATTACCATTCCACATCTACTGTACCTGCAAATTAACATCAAAAGGGCCTCCATAGCTATCAACTAAAGGACCCAAACCAATCCAATTATCATACAAAAAACTACACTTGCTTGGACCAAGATCCCAATAAATAATAGATTCACTACAGTTAGCCACCTTAAGCATACTTTTCCAAACAAGAGAATCCTGTGTTTTACTATCCAAAGCCAAAGGATGCATATCTTTACAATATTTCAAATGCGTCATCTTAGCCCAAAGGGTCTTACCCTTACGAAAATTAACCCATAAAATCATATAACTAAAAAGCATAGTATCCCAAAGAGAATGGCAAACAAATCCACCTTTTCTAATAGGTTTGCACATTTGTTTCCATCTCATCCAATGAATCATAATATCCTTACCAGCCCACAAAAATTTGTTAAAAATACTTTCCAGCTTCATACAAATAGAATAAGGCATCTTCATAAAACATAAGGTAAATATAGGAATAGAAGTAAGGACACTTTTAAGTAACATCACCTTACCACAATAAGAAAGAAGAAGATTATTCCAAGACATAATCTTCTTCCTAATCTTATTAATAATATTCTCAAACAAATGCATTTTACGACAGCCTTTATCAAGATTGAAACCCTTATATACCTTAGGAATGTCTCCTTTTGTATATCTAATAAAATCTAGAATCCAATTCTTTTTAGCAATAGTAATCTTTTTAGAACATTAAAAAATTACTCTTACTAGGATTGAAGATAAACATATAAACCTCTTGAAAATGCTCCAAACCCTGCCAAAGACGCTTGATAGTACTTTTATTAGCATTAGTAAAAATAATCAGATCATCAACATAAGCTAAATGATTAATACTAGGACCACCTTTACCATTATACCTCATATTAGGAAAGTGATGAAAAAGATTATTAAGATACCTAGAAAGATAATCAATAGCCATAATAAAAATAAAAGGAGAAATGGGATCACGCAACTTAATACCTCTAGTAGAATTGAAAACTCAACCTTTATTACTATTAATAAGAACATAATAAAATTATTATCCATAATTCTTTTAATGATATTGCACGGGGCTAAATTAAAACCATGAGCCTTCAAAACATCCATAATGAACTCCCAACTAATATTATCATACGCTTTCCTAATGTCCATTTTAAAATTAACATTTCCACCTCTATCATTTTTATGAATATCAAGTAACAGTTCCTGAGCAGTAAGAGCATTATTACCAATATACCTACGTTTAATAAAGGCAGATTGATTGTCAGAGATCAACTTATAGAGAAAAGGTTTCAAACTATTCACCACCACTTTAGAGATAATTTTAGAAACCATAATGGTAAGGTTAATAGGCCGATAAGCATCCCAAATAATCCCTTTACTAGCTTTAGGAATAAGAATCTTATTGGAAGCTTTAAAATACTTCGGGAGATCCTTCCCTTTAAAAAAATACTATATAACATAAATAAGATCAACTTTAATAACATCCCATTAAAATTTATAAAATTCTGCTGAGAAACCATCAGGACCGGCTGAGTTATTACCGTCAATACCATCCAAAGCCTCTTTAATCTCTGTACTTGTAGGAACCACATCTAAAGCTAAATGATGAGCCGAAAACTCATTATTATCAAAAAGAGAATTATCAATTGAATTAAGAACAACCTTTTCACTATTAAACAGATTAGTAAAATAAGAAATACCATCAGCTTCAATAACATTGCTAGTAGTAAGAATCATACCTCTAGCATTCTTAATTTTACTAATATAATTAGTTAATTTATGTTGCTTGATAAAATCATGGTAAAAAGTAGTATTACGATCACCATGAACAAAAAAATTACTCAAAGCCTTTTGCTTAAAAAAAGCCTCTTCCATATTAACAACTATAACTAATCTATGTTGAGCCTCCAAGACGCTCTTATGATCAATACCCTCATCTTCATATCCTTTATCAAGATTGCTAAGATTATTCTCAGCATTTAAAACCAAAGAATGAATATTCCCAAAGAAATCTCAATTCCAACCTCTTAATTTAAAAGCCAAATTTTTTTTTAAATACCATAATCTTTTACCAGAAACAACGGCTTCATTACAAACCTAATTAGTTTTAACGAAATTTAAATTGATACT